ATGACCCCACCTCTCTCTTGATTTTTTACTTCAGTATAGATTTTCTTAATGAGTTTATGGTCTCAATCGCTGGTTTCAAGTCTTCTTAAATACAGCCTAGTGTTTATTTTGTAAATGATGGTCCCATTTAGAGTGAAATAGGCAATAAAGCAGGGTACAATTTAGGCCAGTAGTTTTTCAATTAAGTACCTCCTGACCAGCACAAAATATTTTTGGTAGGAATACACGTGAAGAAAACTGCTTAACAGTGCCGTGGTGCAGTGGTTAGCACTGTCACCTCACAGGGTGGGGAGTTCGAATCAAGGGGGGAGCCCTTCTGTGTAGAGTTTGCATGTTCTCCCGTGTCAGTGTAGGTTTTCTCCAGGTACTCCGGCTTCCTCCCACAATCCAAAGACATGCATGTCAGGTTAATTGGTGACTCTAAATTGCCTGTATGTGTGATTGTGAGGGTGAATGTTCGTCTGTCTCTATGTGTTAAGGCCTTGATCTGTTTGGATCCAACCGGAGCACCGAGCCCCGGTTTGTTATTCAGGTTAAAGTGGGAAGAAGCAGCGGGTTTGTCGGGCAGCTGAGTAAAGTGGAGCCTGCGGAGGAAACACCAGGACCGTCTGGATGTAATAGTCGGTGGAGGTGCTGCGGTGCTCGGCTGCACAGATAGGAAACCCCTCGGTTGACAGGATGTACCACTCTCTCACCCCACTACTTTGTTTATCTTATGCGTTCCTTGGACTTCCGGTTTCCCTTTTTGCGTTATTTCCTCTCACGCAGGCGCAGAACGTATGTGCTACTTGGCCGTCGGATGAAGTCTTTGTAGTGTGTTCATATGCAACTGACACAGGGCGACATGAGGCGACTTAGACGATGCAACAGTTGGCTTTCGTTGCCGCTAGTTCTTTGATGTCGGTTTGGTGTGTAAGCACCTTAAGCTCCATCTGGTGATACCCTGCCTCTCGCCCAGTGTCAGCTGGGATAGGCTCCAGCACCCCAGCGACCCCCGCAGGATAAGTGGTTGAATGAATGAATGCTTTAGAGCGTGGCCCCGAAATACCTCTCACAAAAGCAGAATGCGAGGGAGTAAAAGCAGTGGGGGGCACACCTGGGACGCCAGGTGATGACGATTAGCTCTCTGGAGGTGTTGTAGGCCTATCATCGAAACACCAGTGAAGGAGGGTACCCTCCTGAAGACCCCAATGAAGCTTTTACCCTCCCAACTCTAACCCACAATCACAAGTATGTGCAGCAACAATTGACCAGTTAAACTCCACCTCGATTAAAGTTTCTCCTGTTTCTTCTCTCCTCTCCCCTCTCTTCCCTCATCAAAATGAGGGAGTATTCTTCTTACTTTTCTGTCTACCTTTACTCTTTACTACTTTTCTATCCATCCAACCCTTTGGCTCCAACTCGGAACCCCAGATGGCACTATTACTCCCACTCATAGTCTCAAGTATGTGCATCAGGGATTGTAACACCTAGTCCTAAACTGGACTGTTGTGATGACAAGTCACTACCACGTCGATGTTCTCGGATTCTGAGTCAGATCCATCCGTCACTTCTCCAAAGCTCCACCCTGTTGTCCAAATATAGTCATTTCTAGCTCCAAAAACCAAGATGGCTGCATCCAAAATGTCAAACACAGGGTTACAGAATGGTAGTCTACATCCCAATGGTTGACGTCACCGTGGCTTTATCCATTTCTTTTATACAGCCTATGCCTGGAGCAAGACACTGAACCCTGAATTGCTGCCCATGTGTGGATATATCTTCAAATAAGTCTGCCAAATGAATGTAATATAATGTTGGTATCACTCAGTCCATGTATAGAGACATGTTTTCTCTGTTGGTTGTCTAAAGAAGCTGAATTGGACCTGGCAGGTTGAGGAGAAAGTGGGTTCAACTTCCTTTCACCTCTGTGGAGCATTACAACCCTCTTTCATCTCAGTGTTTTTGGTTTTATGGCCCACAACTTTACTATTTCATTTTACTCTTACCGCTGCAGGCAACTGTTTTCAGCTGGGAAAAATATCTAAAATCCAGCTGTTCAGTACCTGCCTGGCAGCACACAGTATACAGTCAATGTTGGCAGCTAGTTGGTGAAGAAATGTGGCTCTTCAGGTGCTAAATAACCAGATATTTCCCTCGGGAGTTCGTAGAAGCCGAAGCAGAGCTCAGTGAAGAGTATTCCCATGAAACACAACTTGACATGAATGCTGATGTTTCTATGGTCTGTCATATGCATAGACAGTAGTTTGCTAACATCCCTGCATCAACTTCATCAGGTGACAGTATATTTCTGTGTTGTGTTTATGGCTTGTTGTGCTGTCCACAGGTGAAGTTTAAATAAACTGATAAATTGTTGAGTCATTTCATAGATGATTAAACAGGAGTTAGCAGGCTACAGTTAACAGTAGTTAGCAACTATGTTAGCATCTGATTGGCTGAAGAGCAAAGGGGCGGGCATTATGGTGAGCTCCATATGCACTGGTAAAGTCAGACATTTCAACTAGGAGAGCCCCTGAAGTTGCATTTCCAAGTCAGAAAGTCTGAGGAACCTCACTAACTCTGACCTCAAGATCCAAGATGGCTGCTTCACGCATTGTATGTGCAATATATGCCATAATGTGTTCTTATAAACTGGTATTGCTAACAGTGGCTTACAACATGTTGGCTTTTCGACTTGTACTAGAACCATGGACTGTAAAAGTAATGGACATAGCTACCGTGACGTCATCATATTTGGGCGAGAGGCTGGTGTTGATGAGGAGCGAGGACTGGATCTGACTGAGAAGTCAAGGACTGTATGTGCAGACAGTCTGCACTAAAAGCAGCCCAACCTTTATTTAAGCCGTGATAAAATGTTAATGTGTGAGTTATGTAAAAATTCATGTGCAGGTGTCATGAATGATGAATTAGCTATAGAGACAAAATTAATGTGTCTGCAGCCATACACGCCTCTCATTTTTAGGCCCTGAGGTTGCCGCTTGAATGCGATCATTTCGGGTTTGACATTCTCTGCTTCAACCTCCAACTGGAAGGCAGCATGAGTATCAACTGAAAGGTGAGAGTATAGACCAGGGGTCAGCAACCTTTTATATTAAAATAGCATTTTTGGGCCTAAAGTTTTTTATTTAATTTGTCTGGAGCCACAATACATATTTGTGCTTTATAATAAAGGTAACAGCCTATTAGGTCTAAATTAGTCTATCAATATTGCTAATCGTTCTAAATGAGCATTCATTTGTGATTTTGATTATTTGTTACTTTGCAACGTTGGTGGTGAAAGCAAGGAAATCTGCCCACTCACCATTAGGCTAAGTTCTCTGTTGTCCTCTGAGACTTTTTCTTCTTTGGATTTGGAATCAGTAGCAAGCCTAGAGAGGGAGACTCCACTGCTAACTAGCTACCACTATTTGGGTTCACCAAAATTTACGCCAGGCTGTAGACATATGACACACACTTTAGTTGATGGAACTTTAGGCGTAGAGCAATGAAAAATGAAAATTATAATGTTAAAAAATAACTTTTTCATTTCCATATAATTTTTTGTAAAAGCCACATAGAGCCACTGGAGATGGGTTAAGGAGCTGCAGGTTACTTACCCCTGGCATACATTATGTCCTCCTGAGACCCTGTGTCCTCATATGGACGACATAGCATTTTGAGTTTACTTGACCTTATACTTCATTCTGCTTAACTTAGACCTGTTGTCCTTGTTCGTGGACACCTTTTTTTTGGCCATCTAGTGGTAGTAAGACCACAGTACAGTAACCCATGTAAAAACAAGATGGCAGCCATCTCTGCCAAATCAGCCTGCAGACGATCCTGACACAAAAGTGGACAAGGTCCAAAACTTGATCACATTTTATGGTTGAAACTTGTTTATTTATGATTAATGATGTTTGCAGTTTGATACGGCGACAAATTTGACCAATTGTAGCAACAGTAACAAGCTAAGACACTGTTAATTAGAAAGCGCTCATTTGACGACACTGGTGCTGTGTCTCAAATCACGCACTTCTGAGAAGTATGTTAAAATGCAGTGCACTGAGTACCCGGATGGTGCACTCAAAAGGTCAAGAAGTTGAGTGTGGAACTATGGACACTTCTCACCCTCATAGGTTGCCATCTTGGCTACGTAGCGGAAAGGGAGAGACCACTTTTCAAACTGAAAATAGCGTCTGAGGACTGTGCAACTATGAATGTCGCTGCATTGTATAAATACATGTGTGTTTTGCACTAAGCACCACTATACTGTTGTCGGATGTAAACCAGCAGTATGTTTATTGGGTTAATTTAGCAGTCTGTAAGGATTTGGTACTGTGAACGATAACGCGAATGCTAATGCTAGTTTGCTAACTAGCTAATTTGTAGTCATCATTTCCAGTGAGTGCACAAAGACGTGTTTGGTTTGAGACAACACTACCCTGTCGAAATTTGCGCACTACGCCAATGAGTACATAGTGCACATAGTATACTACATAGTGTACTAAGGGAAGTATGTGATTTGAGATTATCTCATTTGAGGACATTGGGGCTTAATTATTGTTGACAAGGTTTAGTTTTTTTAATACGTATTGGGTCCTACTGATTCCAAATAGCTAGGGAAAAAAATATGTATATAAACATTTTGAGTCTACACCTGTAATTTTAAAAAGAGTCTCTCAAAAGGAGAAAATAAAAACGGTGAAATGAGGTTTCATACGAATAATTTTGTTAACCACACTACCACACTTTATATTTATCTGTATTCACACTGTTATTTTAAAATGTCTTATTCAGTATGTTTTGTCCCACATGTATTTCCATACAGTGTGTCCCTGCAGAGTGTTGTGAGTACACCCGCCAGCTGAAAGCTAAAGTGAGCTGAATTTTTAAGTAGAAAACTCATCTTCCGTTTTCCCCCCACAGGACGTGAATGCAACACCAAACAGCCCGAGTAACAGGGAGAGAGAGAGAGAGAGAGAGAGAGAGAGAGAGAGAGAGAGAGAGAGAGAGGCAACAGCGCAGATGAGCCCCAATGAACAGCAGCCGGGTCCTCTTTCAGATCGACACACACACACGCTGACACACACCACGCTCCACATCCCACACACACAAATGCCAGGACACTCATACACATGCAATCCAATAACGAGAGCACCGCCAGTCCGAGCTGCCTGCCGCTGCCGGTGGCAGCCCTCACCGCTTCTCCGAGCCACAGAGCCGAGAGCCCGCTGTGAGAGGAGCTCCTGCTGCCTTCCTCACACAAAGGACAGGAGAGCAGAGAGCACAGAGCCGGACTCCTCATCTGGGAGGCGGTAGATAATTCAACAGCAGTGCTGCGAGGAGGAGAGACAGACAGGAGGGAAGGTGAGTGAATGCAGTCCAGTCCAGCTGCTGTTGCTGCTGCCGCTGCTGCTGCTGCTGCTGCTGGAGGAGGAGGAGGAGGAAGAAGAGGAGGAGGAGGAAGCTCAGTGTCTGTAGAGGCTGGAGGAGCAACATTATCCTGCACAGAACCACAGTCAGAGCAGACGGCCAGCAGCGATCAGAGCACCTCCAGGCTTGCAGATGTGGAAGGAGAGCTGTGCAAGTTCTAGTCCTGGGTGAGCCAACTTCACACACACACACACACACACACACACACACACACACACACACACACACACACACACTCATCTGGTGGTCCACTTGATGTGCTATCTGACACTTTTATAGACCAAAGATAGCTCTGAGCTGTGAGATAATGCACATGGGATTAATCCTTTGTGCCTCCACCACCTGTGTGTTCCTCCAGATTTCAGTGGTCAGGACTCAGTTAGACCAATGACCTGCAGAGAGCATGAGATTCACCCTGTGATCATCGTGACACTAGTTTACCCCCTCAGCCTCCTCTCACACTGTCATGGTGCAGTCCCGCCTGATCGATTTGCTCTCTAACTCAGATGGACATGGGCTCTTATTATCTCACGCTGCCTGTGCTTTCCTTTTGTCATCCTGGAGATTTTGCGTCCATGCAAGCAAAAGCAACTCTGTGTGAGCGTGGTGTGTATGGTGTGTGTGTGTGTGTGTTTTGTTACCAGTTCTCAATTAGGTTTTAATGATCTAAACGGGGGGCAGAGAGGGGAAGGCAGCCTTTGATCGATCCCTGCAGTCATCTCAGTGTGAGAGGCTCGGTGCCTGTCGTCGGCGTGACACATCTAAGCCTGTGCCTGTGTTTGCTCAGCCCTCTCCCCGCTCTGCTCCTGCTCTTGCTCCTGCTCCTGCTTTTATTCAGACTCTGTTCACTTCTGAGTGCAGTTCTGGAAATAAACTGTTTTTATAAGGACGCTCTGAATACAGTTTTGCTTTAATCTTGTTCCCCGTCTGTCATGGTTTGTCACTATATCAGCAAATCTTGCATACATTAGCCTGAATACATGAAACTCAATGCAAATTATCATTTAGATTGCAAAGTCTTCTTTGTTCTTCTAAGACAGTTGAAAAATAGAAACAAACTTGCTGCAGAGGTGGTGAGCACAACTGTAATGGGTTTTCTTTAAGAATTTTTGTTGGCATTATTAGAAAGTTGACAGCAGGGGGTGACAGGAAATTAGGGGAGTAACTAATGGGGTGTGACACCCATCAAAGGTCCCTGGCAGTGTTTGAAAAGGGGACATAATAGTTCATGGTCAGTTCCTTTACCCCTTCGACTTTCGGTATACCCCTTGATGTTTTACGTTACAAAAACATGCAACAAATTAGAAATAATTCATGAGACTGCACAGGCGTTTTTCTGTTTCTAACACAATTGAAAATAGACTTAAACTTGCTGCACATTTGATGATGGCCACAAGTGTAATGGGTATTTCTTTAGGTAATTTTTGTGCCATTATTAGAGAGGTGACAGGAAATTAGGGGAGTGATAAATGGGGAGCAATGCGCATGGTCCCTCGCAATATTCGAACAGGGGACATAACAATTCATGGTCAACTCCTTTAGCCCTTCGACTATCGGTACACCTCTTGACGTGGATTTTTACCCTGATAAATTAAAAAACATGCAGCTAAATGCAAATTATAATTGAGAAAGCACGGCCATCTTTCTGTTTCTAACACAATTGAAAGATAGAAATAAACTTGCTGGGCATCTGATGATGGCCACAACTGTAATGGGGTTTTCCTTTAGGTAACTTTGTTGGCATTATTAGACAGGTGGCAGGGAGTTAGGGGAGTGACACCCAACAAAGGTCCCTAGCAGTGTTCGAATAGCGGACATTTCGGTTCATGGTCAACTCCTGTCGCCCTTCGACTATTGGTACACCCCTTAACTTGGGTGTTTACCCTGACACACTAAAAAACATGCAAAAAAAAAGCAAATTATAATTGAGATTGCACGGCTGTCTTTCTGTTTCGAACACAATTGAAAGACTTGTGATGCTTTTATTGATGTCCACAACTGTAATTGGTTTTCTTTAGGTAATTTTGTTTGCATTATTAGAAAGTTGACAGCAGGGAGGTGACAGGAAATTAGGGGAGTGATAAATGGGGAGCGACACCTAACAAAGGTCCCTGGCCATATTCACACAGGGGACATAATAGTTCATGGTCAACTCCTGTCGGTACACCCCTTAATGTGGGTTTTTATCCTGATACATCACAAAAACATGCAACTAAATGCAAATTTTAATTGACATTCCACGGCCATCTTTCTATTTTTGACATAACTGAAAAGCTTCTGTGCATTTGATGATGGCCACAACTGTAATGGGTTTTCTTTAAGTAATTTTTGGGGCATTATGAGACAGGTAGCAGCAGGGAGATGACAGGAAATTAGGGGAGTGATTAATGGGGAGTGACATGCGTGGTCCTTAGGAGTATTTGAACAGGGGACATTACAGTTCATGGTCAACTCCTTTCGCCCTTGGACTATCTGTACCCTTAATGGGGTTTTTTACCCTGATGTGTTACAAAGACACGCAGCTTGAGATTGCACATCCATCTTTCTTTCTGGGAGTGACATGTAACAAAGGTCCCTGGCAGAATTCAAACCAGAGACAGTACTTTTCAGGCTCAACGCCTTAAACCCTTAATGAGGGTTTCTACCCTGAGTTTCATCTTGAATCCAAGGGTGAAGGTTTTGTTTCAACACTGGGGGGTTGAGGGTTCTGTGCCAGAAAATTGTGAGCATCAAAAATGTAATTCCCTGCATTTTGATGAATTTTTATGCAACAGTTTGAGCCTTTTCTGCATCAATTTATGGTGTAAAGTCTTGTCATTGCATATGTTTTAATTATCGAGGGGTATGTGTCCCATGCTTCCCCCTGACATCTACACCTACGCATGAATTGCAGGTAGTACTTTAAGCGCATAGCTTTATGAGGCATGGCACTTGCCCTCTTAGAGATATTTTACTAATCACAATCACAGCAGTGCAAAAATCCACATACGCACTGAGTTGCACATCTTTTAATTTTTCATTGCCGTAATATCTCTGTAATTAAAACACCAGCGCTTCATCCTCACTGTATTACTCACTTCTTGTGTGCAGCGACGGAGGCATTAGCAGGTTTGTTTACCATCCAATTAAATATCTCAGACTTTTATCCTGTGACACGGTTCAGTAAAAAGTTGGTGTATGCTCCCCATGGGAACTGGATCTATAGATTTTTGGATAGATGTTGCTCAGGAGGAAGAAGGAGTCGTCATTAAAGGTGGGCTTGTTCGATCTGCACCTCCTTTTGTCTTGTTGAAGTGTTCTCGAGGATCCGAATCCCAAATTGTTCGTGCTGGCCTACACAGTGTGTAAAATAATAGATTAATGAAAAGCATATTTCCAGGTCAATTAATTTTCATTTTAAATTTAGATTAAACATGGACTTGTATCTTTCTTGTCTTAGACGTACCATCACTGTCTCATGGACTCCCTCCTGCATGTCAGGAGCCACAGTGGCTGCTCCTGTCTGAAAATCAACAGGAGAAAAGCAGTATTGAAGTGAATGCAATTATACAACAGCACTTAATGGCACCCGAGGTGCCACTTAGCCTCCCTATCTGACAGATTTATGTGTCAGTAATGAAATGTCTGCTGACAAGTCTATGTGGCCCTTGGAGTGCATTGTTGAATCAGGCCTGTTAGTCTTGCCCATTACTACTCCTACACTTACCTTCTCATTTTGATGCTTTCTGTGGCACATAAAGCTGTCAACCGTGCTCAATAGTGACATTACCTCAGCTTAACACTGCCAATGCCCAGCCTCATTGTTTTCAACTCTGGAGTATTTATGAGGGCAGTAAAGCGCGGATGCATCCGCTGTCAGCAAGACGAGGGCACCTCTGCTCTTACGGAGAGGGCAGTGCGGAGTGACGAGGAGGCAAAGGAGCGTGTGCCCCTGTGAGCGGCTGTCAGATACCTGCAGGCACGCTGGCATGTCAGCTGCTGCGGTTAAGATGTCCCGCTCCAACGATCATGGGCCTTTGTATGCTGGCCGTCCTCCCACTCACGGACTACTGTAATGCCATTACAGATGCTCAGATCAGGCTGAAACCTTAATGCAGAGCTTAGAGAGTATTTGGGCCTTACAAGTATTTTATTTCCAAACATGATTGATTCATTTGACATTATCGTGACGATAGAGTCTGGCTGACCTCGTTACATGACAGCAGTGGTTTCCAGCCTTTTTTTTTTTTATCAGACAAAGTGACACAGGCCTCTCGTACATCTCTGTAGACATCATTTGTTATTTCAGAAATGTGTTCATGGTTCTGGATTTTATTGGACCATAAAAATGGATATAAAAGTGGGTGTTGCAGTATTTTTTTTTTTATAATCAAACTGTCAGTGTTCAGGTTGGTTTAAAGGTGCAGTGTGTAATACCTGGTCACATGCTTCAAAGAAATACGGGTCAGCATTTCTCTGGTCCGTACAATCTACATTTACAGTCATTAGTTATTTAAAAAAAAAAAAAAAAAAAAAAAAAGATGGCAGCTAACTTACAGCATGGCAAAAATATGCAAAATTTTCACTCCGGCCTCATCACATAACAACGTTTGGTCGTAGACTTTCCACGTCAGGATGCGTGGGTGTGGGTGTGTTGGTTGTTGATGTGCTGAGACGCCATGTCAAGTTCTGCCTGTTACGTGCATTGACTGTTTACAAAATACACTTCAATTTTGGCAGAAAATTTACCGTTTGTCTCTTTCAGAATAAACACACAACACTGGGAATTGACGTGGTTATCCTTCAAATACAAACACTGATGGTTACATTTCGTCAACACACGCATGTGGTTGGATGTAGGAAAAAAAGAACAGGGTTTTGCTTTGTAATCTTATGGGAAGTGAACACCAGCTTCCTGGGTGAAAGTCTGTGGTTGTTGGACCCGTTGTTGGGCTTTCACTGCTTTAACTCTTTGTTGTCCTGCCGCGTTTTCCCCTGTCGCCGCCAGGTGCGGTGAAACAGTAATGGCGACCAGCTGCATATCATGCCGATGTGGAAGGACGATTTTTTTTTCATGGTTGTCTGAAGCCAGAAGTCATTACCCAACTGCCGGATTTTGATGACATCAGAGTGAAACTGGGTTGCAAACTTTGACCCAAACTGCTGAATTTCTGAGAGCCAATCATAT